CGTCCGGCACCCGTCATCCAACCCCAGAGCAGCAGCAAGCGCCGGAGCAGGGGAACTTTGCCCCTGCTGAGCGAGTTTAGCCCTATATGTCTAGACCAAATCCTTGCAGAAATATTTTGGGTCGCCCTCCTTCCTGCCTCTATTGGGGACAATTCCAGATGCCCTCAAAGGAATGGAGAAGGGGTCACGCCATAGTGCTTTATGGGAGATGGGACCCCCCCCCCCCCCCCCCAGGCTGCAACCAGTCAGAGAAGGCTCTTTTGCCTCTTTGCTCCGACAAAACAGCCTCTGGTTATTGTGGCTCTTGTCTCCTTTCCTGTCCAGGAGGGATGAAGCCCAACACATTGGTCCTCGGTTTCTACGACAACTGTGTCCCCGAGGATTACTTCCTGCAGGACCCGGCCTTTAGCCAAGCGCGGGAGAACGATGAGTTTGGGGTGGACCTGACTGCTCTACAAGCGCACTTCCCGTCCGTGAGGGAGGGGGAGAGCCAGAGGGCTCTGAGTCCGGCGGAGTATGTGGCCATCATCTCGGATGCAGTCAAGATGCACAAGAACGTCTGCCTGGCCCGCTACTTCCACCTCCTGGAGAAGGAGCTCCCCTCCTCGTCTTCCAAGAAGCGCATGGAGGGGTGTTACATCGACGTCTGGCCTCTCAACCTCCTGCGCCCGGACACGCCGACCTACGTGGACATCTGCAGCCTCTTCCTCCTCCAGATGGCCTGCATCCTGACCATGGTCAGCTCCTGGAAAGCCGCCCGGCTCCGCATCTTCCTGTGCGTGGAGTCTGGGGACGTGGGCTGGGTCAGCAAGGAAGAGAAGCTGAAGGAGCTGCTGACCAAGCTGAGGATCAAAGCGGCCATCCAGACGGTCACCTGGGACCAAGTGGTGGCCCTCCACGGTCACCAGCAGGCGGGCGGAGATTCCCAGGGAAAAGAGGGACCAACGTCTGGGGCGGCTCCGCTGCCTCCGCGTCCGCCTGGGAAAGAGGCGAGGGAGGCCTTCCTGAACGCAGCCACCTTCCACGTGACAGACGAGTACTTGGCCTCTGTCAACAGCTTGCTGCTCAGGCAAGGGGGCCAGACGGCCGTGCGGTTCCTCTACCTCCCACGGCCTCCGGCGGATACCTCTCAGTACCAGCGCTACTTGGAACAGCTGGAGGTCCTGACCACAGGCCTGGGGCCCACGTTACTAATCCATGGGCTGACACCCGTCACGTGCACGGAGCTCTGAGGGACCCCGGGCGGGGGCTGGTGGGTGGAACAGAGAGGCTGAGAAAAGGTGCCTTCCCATGGAGTGGCAAGCAGCGGTGCCTTTGGGGAATCTGGGTGAATGACGTCTGTGAGTCTGTTCCAGGGGGAAGGCTTTGCCAGAGGTCTGTGGGGGATGGGGGGGGAGAGGCCGGGGCTGCCTCCTCCTTGGCCATTTTCAAAGAGAGGGATCTTTCCCATCGTTTGGGAAGGCTCTTGGTGGCTACCAGGTGGAGCAGAAGGCTTGGACCTTCCACCTCGATTGCGCCAAGGTGCTTCTCCCCACGTTTTGGTGTGGGTCGTGGCTTTGTGGTCTGGAATCCCAGGTGCCATCGACCCCCCACCTGAGGGCTCCCAGCGTGAGTCAGAGAGCTGACCCATTTGCTTCGACTTCTCCGCTTGTCAGGATCCAAAGGATGGCAGCTCCCGTCTCTCCAAATTGGGGGTGGGGAGAAGAGCCTTGCTAAGGGGGGGGGGGGGTTTTACTGGCTAAGGGGGGGGGGGTTTCCACACCAAAGCTGTGTCAATCAACCAACAAAATAATTTTTAATCTTCATGGGCTGAGGGGGGTCACTAGAAGACATCGGCTGAGAGAGAACACGGGGTGGGGTGGGGGGCTTGGGGGGGCTTCCCTGCTCCTCCTCAGTGGGGCCGATGTCCCTCTAGGCTGAGCTTTCCTTCAGTGGCACTTCAAAGGACGTCTTCCCTGAATTTATCCTGCTGTTGCTAGACTAAGGTGGCCTCATTTCTTCTCCTGTCCCCTCCTCCCCCCCAGTTAGTTTTCTGGAAAAACTTTCAGAATCCTTCCTTAGGAAAGTGTGAGTGTATGTGAGAGACCGTAGAGGGTGCCTTTACCACATTCCCCACACGGCCTGGGGCTTTTTTGGGCCCCTCCAACTGCGGGGCGTTGACTCTGCTAACCATTAATGACAAGCAGTTGGAGGGGGGGGGATTCCCTATCTCAGCAGGGGGGGTTATTCCCCTCCCTGCTGGAAAAAATACTTCCTAATCCCCTTCACTGTACCTGCCTGCAGAAGGTGCTTCTACTAATCCAACGGTATGACTTACATTTTAGTTAACGTGCCTCTATAGTTGGGGGACCACTAAGGGGAGAGGGAGAGACGGGCCAGCCACTATCTAACTGAAGCCCCCTCGGGGGTTTAACCGTGCGCTTTGGGAACAAATATTGGTTGGGGGGGGCAGGACAGTGGGAGGGATACGAGGGGTGGGGTTCTACTTTTGTAATGAATGCGTGCAATAAAAAAGACACTTGCAGGGGAAGCCGTGGAGCCTCATGTGTTGTTACTCAGAAGAAGAGGAGATTGGATTTATATCCCTTGCCCTTCACTCGGATTCTCAGAGCGGCTTACAGACTCCTTTCCCTTCCTCTCCCCACAACAGACACCCTGCGAGGTAGGTGGGGCTGAGAGAGCTCTGACAGAAACTGCTCTTTTTCAAGAACAGCTCTTATCAGAACTACGGCTTGCCCAAGGTCATCCAGCAAGTGCAAGTGGAGGAGTGGGGGATCATACCTGGCTCTGCCAGATTAGAGTCCGCGCACTTAACCACGACACCAAACTGGCTCTCTATTAGATTACTCAGGCAAGGGGGTGGCGGGGCGGGGGTAGCCAGAATTCCTGGCAGGAGAGCCGCTAGTCCCCTTGGGCAGTGCAGAACCTCAGGAGACGCTATTACAGCTGATCTCCAGGTGGTCAGCTGTGTTGGGATGAAGCAGCAGAACACATTTAGAGTCCAGTGGGGCACCTTGAAGGCCAACAAAGTTTTATTCAAGGTTTGAGCTTTTGTGTGCACACGAAAGCTCATACCTTGAATAAAACTTTGGCCCCAGTCACATGGGCAGGAAAATGCGGGGGAAGCCCCACTGTTTGCCCCGGAGCAAAATGCAGGGCTGTGCAATCAGATGTCCCGTCAGGTCCCGTGGTTAGGGGGGAGGTGCCTATCACAGGACAATCCTGCAGCGCGGCAAAGAAGCGGCCTCCCTAGCAAAAGGCTCCGGGTTTAACCCCTTCCAGGGCTGCAGAGGAATGCAAACTGTGTCCTCCATCCGGTCCCCTCAGGAGGCGCTTCAGCCGGGCCGCCCTCCCGCCACGCCCCCCCCACACCTCCCCCTCTGCTGCCCGGTGCAGAGTTCCTCCCGAGCAGGCCGAGCCAGGAGTAGGGGGGTATGGAAAAGAGGAGGGGGCTGTGTTTGTTTTTAAGTGTGTGCATGCGCCGTTAGGTGCTTGTGCGCATCCCGTGGAGACTTGGGGAAAAAACCTTTTAGCGACGGGACATGCCACGACTTCCCACCGGAAACGCGATCAGGCGCCCACCCTTCCGCACGGTTCCCGGAAACTAGTACCTCAGAGGTACTAGTTTTTTACCCCGCATCTTCGGCGGGAAGCATTGGGTTGGCCACGGGAGCTCTACGCTTCCCAGATGTGGCGCTGTGATCGCGCCCGGAAAATCCGCCTATCTTCTGTCTCTGTAGCGTGGCTAATGCTCCGTGTGACCGCAGCCCTTGTTGGCCTTCAAGGTGCCCGACTGGACACTAAATTTGTTCAGCTGATCTCCAGGCAGTGTTCCCTCTAAGCTGAATTAGTGTGAGCTAGCTCACGTTTTTTTCACCTCCAGTTTACTCCTTTTTTGTCTTAGCTCAGGAAGGATGGGGCTCCAGAGCCAACTAATTTGCGCAGTAGCCCAATCGCTCGGTCACAACTGTCGTGCCAGGAGAGCTCACAAAGTAGGATTTTGGCTCACAAGGCTCCACAGCTTAGAGGGAGCATTGTCTCCAGGTGACAGCCATCAGTCCCCCTGGAGAAAACGGCCCTTCGGGAAGGTGGGCTCCCTGTCATTCTACCCCACCGAAGCCCCGCCCCAGTTCCAAAATCTCCAGGAATTTCCCAACCCGGAGCTGGCAACCCTCCTGTGGCAGCGGCGGCAGCACACAGCCACAGTTCTTGGGGGGTTGCCCCCATCCAGGCGGGTTGAAAGACCTATAAAATATTAAAAATAGCAAGAGTGGCTTTATATTGCACTAATGGGTCTGATGAGTGTTACTGTGGGATATGATCAGAGTGTTTGCCAGATGGATTAATACTATAGAGGTATTTCTTCAATGCTCTACCCACTTTGACAAAGTTCTACACGAAACGAGATGTCATGTGCATGGTTCGTTGGTGTCGATGGCGTATGAATGGCTTCCAGTAAACTGAATATTGGGAAAATAAATTTCTAGTCCTTGGGAGAATTTTTTGGCATAAGACATCAGGGTGGTTTGCTTCTTCTCAACTTCCATCCCGTGATCTCTCTCTTTGGCTTGCAACGTCCAGGCGGGGGCCTGGCTCCCCGGGAGGGAACGGCCGCCGGACGAGCTCCCTCCGCTCCCCGGTCTCCCAGGAACTGCCGGAGCCACCCGAGCAGCGGCCTCCCTGCAGGGCTGTTGTGCGAAGCTTTCGGGCTGCCCAGGCAGGGTTAGGGAGGCGCGGGCACCGCCAAGGCCGCCCCGTCGCTTAGCAACGGCTCCCACTCCGCTCCCCCACCCCACCGCGGGAGCGGCACAACATGGCGCCCAGAGGAAGCCGGAAGTCCCTCCTCCGCCTTGTCGCTCTAGCCACGACGGGGGGCTGACTTCCGGTCAGCTGCGGGGCTGGGCCGAGGGGCGGCCTGGGCGTCCAGTCGGGGCCACCCGCCGCTCCAGCCCTGTCCGCCTCTATGGCCAATGGCTTTCGGGTGGGGGAGAAGCGCCGGTTCCGCCTCTCCGGAGGGAGGGATCCAGCTGGGTCGCCGCCGGGCTGCTCTCTCTGCTGCAGCAGCAGGAAAGAGCCCGGGAAGACCTGGGAGGCGCACGAGATCTGGGGCGGGGGAGGAGCTTCGTTCGTGAGTCTCTCCGGCCACTTCTTCAGAGGTCTTCGGGCACTTCAGGCGACTCGCGACGGCTCCTCCCCGGCCACGAATGTCCTGAGTCTCTGAGGCGCCCCGGGGGTCCTTCCTTCCCGCCGTCTCTGGCGAGAAATAGCGACTGGCGGGGGGTGGGGGGGGGAGGAGGAGACCGGAAGTGCGCGTGCCCACACATAAGATGGCCGACCCGCCTTCGCCGCCTCGGGCGTAGCCGCTCTTCGCGGGCTTTCCTCTCGCGATCGAGTTTGCCGGTACGGCGTGGGTAGAGCGGGGGGGCGCTCTAGGAGACAGGAGCGAGTCTCCTGATCAGACGACTTCCGGGCTGTCCGGCGTCGCCTCCCTCGGGTACATTC